CTTATTTGGGCCTAGATCCAGATCTATGTTTGATGCACGACGAGCGAGAGATATCAAACCTAACCACTGCAAAATATCAAATTATGGTAAAATTCCCGAACCCCCGCTCCACCATATGTTTATTAGGTAAGAGGGTTCCCCTACCCCCCCCCCTACTTTTGAGGCAAAAACCGGCGAATAATAAAAGTGGGGTGGGAACTACCGAAAAAGCGCCGTCTATTTTTGGGTCAAATCATTGTTTCCCACACACAGTCGCTTTTCATTTCAGATAAGGACAAACATGTTGAGAACAAGGAAGTGACATCCCTGTTTCGCTATAGATCTATTCCTTTAGGTTAACTTCAGTCAGACAAACAATCTATAATATTATTCTTAGTCTGTAGTCTTCTTTGAAAATGTGAATGACATGAAGTTATCAGAATTATATCAATTTACATGTTGCATATTATGGAGTCTAAACGTTTTTTTTTTTCTGTGATTCGAACGAAACAAACACCCTTCAAAATCTTTGATCTTAGTGAATGACATGAAGTTATAAGAGTTACAATGTATATAAATGTATATGTTGTATATGCTGTCTACGCGTGTTTTTCTGTTATTCGAATGAAACAAACACTCTTCAATATCTTTGATCTTAGTGAATGACATGAAGTTATAAGAATTATATGAATTTACATGTTGCATATGGAGTCTAAACGTGTTTTTCTGTGATCCGAATGAAATAGACACTCTTCAATATATATCTTTGATCTTACCTTATTTTGACCTTCAATATATATCTTTGATCTTACCTTATTTGACGAGCCTCGAAGAAAACGTATTTTATCCACCAGTTTTTAAAAAATACATGTACATTCCGGGGGCTCTCTTCACAGCTTTGTCGTAGCCTAGCCTAGCCTAGGCCTAGTGTAGTAGTGTGTCAAGTGTCAAGTGCAGTAGGGAGTCGCGGATTTTGAAATAACCCTGCAGGTGTGTGCGTGTGCGTGGCGTTTGTGTGTGTTCAGGGGAGAGTCGAGATAGAGAGATAGAGAGAGAGAGAGAGAGATAGAGAAACAGAGAGAGAGAGAGAGAGAGAGATAGAGAGAGAGAGAGGTGGGG